AGGGTTGTTTAATTTGTAGAACTCAACTGAAACAGGTGTTTTGATTAGCAGATAGCCCCCAGCCTTGCTAAGGATTCTTTTATTTTTTTAAAGACAAAATCTCCCAATAATCCATCTTAGCTCTGATTCCTCTTTCAGAAAAGAATGTATTTTAAAATAATAAATATTTCTAATGAATGTAACATAATTTAATTTACCTTTTTTTTCTGTATATACATTTGTTTAGCTTTTTTTTTTATTTCTCCTAATTCTGATGGAGCTTAAAAAGGGACCTGACTACATAACTTAACAAAGCTGGCTGTCACTGTAATAACAAACCAAGGTTGTTAATTATAGTTTCTGCAAAATATAAAGAAATGGATGCATCTGAGTATATTTTTAACATATATGCTGTTTACATGGTGTCATGAATGATGATTTCTCTGACTTGTGTGCATTTTTCCACATGTCATCCTCACAAAGGAAATCGGACTACCACACCAAAGCTAACAGACTTTTTTTTTTTTTCTGGGGTTTGGTTTGAATTAAATGTTTTAGTTTTAAATGTACTTGAACTGTCTGAGCTGCTTCATACTCCACATCCAGGTTTCCCAGTTACTAACCAGCACTGTGTGTCACTCTGAATTCTCTGGCCTTTGGCAGCTTTGATGCTTTTCAGCTTGATGTATTTATATTAATTTGAATGCTTACGACTCTTTTTTTAATTTCTTCATGAAGTTAATGGTACACGAAAATGCAACGCTAATTAATGGAAACTGTTTTGATTATCTGCAAAAACCCTTTTTCATTTGACCCCTTATTTAATTTGTATCCCATTAACAAAGATTTAGGTCACTACTTTGCTTGTTTTACCTAAAACAATTATATAGCCAATATGCAACATTTACAAGTAAGTAGTAGATGGTAAAACTGCTATAAGTAATCTTTTATTTTCTGCTTTATTTAATTACAGGTTTGATCTAAAGGTCTGAATGTTTTTGTTTAGCTACTCATTTTTAACATGGTCATTGTTTGTTCCAACTGTGGTTTACATCTCTCTGATTCATTTTCTGTTTGCTTTGTCTTTTTCAAGTCAAAAATCGTAGGCATTGTGCTTTCCTTATATAATCACAGATTACTCAAATGCTGCAGAACAATTATTTTTTCATGATGCCAGGTTGGTTATATCAGTGTGTGAGAGTCTAATTTTAGAAATCAACGTATGTAGCTGACTTTATTTGTGATCAGAAGGAGCCCCCTGCTGGACATATTTGGATTCCCTCATCCTTTTAATCTATAAGGGATAACTACCTTTTGCTTATTGGGCACTTGAATTTCCTTCTCCTCCACCTATTCTGCCCTTTCATCTTTATAATTTCCATATGAATCTATGGGCTCCCACCAGAGACAATTATACTGATCTTGATGAGATTCAGATCAGACAGCGGCAACAGATTAATGTCATCTAAATGTTTCGTTTTTTTTCTGCTGTGCTGCAGAGAGCAACTCCTACTGACTATTAGATTTAGCCTGAATTGTTATTAATATGCACCAATTTGCTACTTTCATTTATCCAAACAGTGTGATAAGAGGAGAGGATGTTAATGTCACAGCTCACTTGTCTACAAATTCAAGCTATTATCCATCACTCCAAGATAGGCTCAATTTAATTGAAGTGAAAAACATCTGATGAGGCGAAATCAAAGGGGAGGCTTGCTCTAAAAATGTATTTAAACAAAAACTTGTTAGTAAACGTAAAATTCACTCAAGACAATGAAGCAAACCTGTCCAGGCATTACATTATTTCTGGTCAGACACAGTAATGTAAGCTGATCCAGTTGCCACGTGTAATCTAATCTTGTGAGCTTGTAATGAGGGGAAATATGGATCAGCCTCACAGCAAGGACCCTCAAGATTAAAAGCGCCTTCCAGCTGCTTTCACAGAAACGTCTCTTTAGTCCTGCATAAGCTCTTGTCATGCTGGGTGACTTTAACGTTTGGGTTTTTGTTTTTTTGGGGGAAGTTTTTGTTTGGTTGAATAACTACCTCATTCTTGGTTTGCCGCATATCTACATATTCAGGATAAAATGCTGAATTGTTGCCTTGGAAAAATGAGTAAAACCTGATGTGTTTATGCAAGAAACCTTTATTGTAATTATGTTAATATGATTTTTGGTCCCTGACAAAAAAAAAAAAGTTGTTGTGGTTACCAGGCATCAGAGGTTGTATTACTCCTTACTTTTCAGGATCTTTTATTTACTCCTTTTAATGCCATCTGCCTTTCTGTGTGCAATAAATGTTCTCAAGTGCTTTATTTCTTATGATGGGTTTTATTTTCTGCACTACAGACAACATTTTTTATTAATATGCTTTTGTTCCCTACGTTTAGGCATTTTGGGCTCTTCAGTAAGTCTTCTTCTGTGGTTTCCTTACATTTTAAATTTGCCTAGGGTTTTGCTGTTTTGTATATTAAGTAAATGTATGTGATATATTTGATAATATTATCTACCCTACTTTGCATTATTTTAGATACAGACATTTCTCCAAAGCTTATTTCAACACTGCATAACTCTACATCAACAATACAATTTAAAACTGTCATACTATTGACAGCATATACGTATTGCAATAAGATACCTATTTTAAGGGGAATAAAAATCTAAAACTCTTGAAACAATGAAAGTATATAAATCGCTTTCCTACTGAATTTTAAACCAAGTAAGCAATTTTAACAAAAAAGCTCACTTGGAGTTTCAGCCACTAAAAGCAGGAATATTACCATATATGTCGAACAATTTAACTGTAATGGAACCCTCCACAATCCCCCTTCAGTTACCATTAAGTTGATTTTTCTTTTATTTTTTTTTATTTATTAAAAAAATACCCTATTAATGGATTTATGGTAAATATATATGTGTAACACAGGAAATAAAAGTTCCAGTATGCATTTTTACTGCAAAGACCATTTGGAAGAAAACAGCTGAAGAACAAAAACCGTCAGTCACTTGGAAATACGTTCGACCCCACATTAATAAAATACCTGAAAACCTTTATATAAAGGAAAGAACCATTTAAACCAAAGGGAATAAAACAAAACAGCTTAAGCTGAGCTGAATTTTTCATAGAACATTGACCTTCTGTTTTGATAAAGCTTATAGTTAAGAGTGGCTCAGGTTATCCTGAGCTATCTCTATGGTTATGCTGCTATAGGCTTAGACTTCTGGAGGGAATAGATACTTTCATTTCATCATTCTGCTTCATTCTATCTCTATTCCCCCACTCTGCAGAATCTATAAGTTCAATCTCTAACGTTCTTCTCTCTCTGGTTTTTCTCATAGTAGCTTCGCCTCATCTTGTCCTGTTTGGCTGTGACAGCACCCTGGAGAGAAATATCAGCTGTGCTGCTGCCATCAACATATTTGTTTATAAATTTTGGAGATCAGCCTGTTTTTCCAGTGTAGTCTCATTTCTCTGACTGCGACTGGTTGGATGTGCTCTCTTCATCCTCTGACATGGGGGTTGGATCAGAGCTCGTCTGCCTGGCTGTGTGTTTCCTGGACGGGGGTCGCCTTTTACAGTTGCTTTTTGTATCTCTGCTTCTGTCTCCTTGAACTCCAGTCGGCCTCGGCAGATGGCAGCTCACACTGAGCCTGGTTCTGCTGGAGGTTTCTTCCCATTAAAAGGGAGTTTTTTCTTTCCACTGTCGCTACAATCATGCTTAGTGTGAGGGATTGCCTTCGAGTCAATGAGTCGATGCAATCAACTGGTTTTCCTTAGATAGAAAATGTTGTATACATTTGACTTTATGATCTGGTGAACTGTAAAGTGCCTTGAGGTGACGTGTTGTGAATTGGCACTATATAAATAAACTGAATTGAACTGAATATCTGCCAACACCAAGAGGGCATACAGTACAGTTCATCACCATTCATGACCTCATCTGTATATAAAGCCCATGCATATGAAGAACCTGCTGTGGGATAGTGAAGAAGCTTTTGTGGACTGTTTCAACTCCACTGTGGGTAAAGTCTTTCCCCTAGCTGTTGCACTGTTGTTCAGAAAGTGGAAACAGGACTCTGTGGATCTATCTCCAAATCAGCTTTGAGAAAACCAAACAGCCGGTGGTGGATTTCCTCTTTAAACTTGTCCCCTGCAAACATCCAAGGACCTGGTAGTGAAATAGTCTATACTTCTATGTACCGTGGTGCTCAAGGAAAGTTACAATACTCTGTTACGCATGTCTTCCAAATCCAAGCATGCTATTTCCAGTGATGGTACACTGTTTTAAATCAGTCACTGGGTAGTCTAATAATCCTGTTTTCTGGTTTTATATTGTTACCTTTGTGTGAACCTGCCTGCTTCTATCCGTCTATCACTGCTGCTGGTACAGCTGGAGTTTTTCGTAAAGAAACAATAAAGCATATTTGAAGGATCAGTAAATAAGGATATATCCTCCTTAAGACTGGATTCTTGCTCACATCTATTGTATGAAGTCAACTGAAAGCATAAAGCCATGAAATAATATAACTGATATCAATGTGGAATGGGAAAACATCTCGCTGTATAGCTCACAGCTTTAGGCGAGGGTTATTGTCAACAAAAAACCCACAAGAACTCAGACAAATAACATAAATTACAATGGACACACACTCGTTTAGTGCTGCATTAAATTCAGAAGCCTAAATTAAACTTATTTAGATGAAACTGGAGGAAACTGGAGTAGAGTACGGTAGATAAAACATCAAACCAAAGCTGTTCTTCCTAAACTTAAAATGATCTTTGTGAAGTAGGTCTATAGATTGATGGAGATTCTGTAGAATGTAATAAAGCCAGCTTTAAGTAAAGCATAATTTCTTTGCCTTAAAATAAAAATATTGTCAACAACACATTTATGATCATTCCAGGAACTTGTAATTAAAATTTAGTTTATTTTAAATATATATTGAGATTCCTATAAAGAAATAAATATCGGTGGGCCACCTCAATTAAAAACTTAATTTCTTATTTTATTTATTTCTTATAACATTGCAAATGTTTCTCACTTGTAAAAGGTTTTCTCTTTCATGAACAGCTGCATCCTGTTGTTTTCTGTACAATGAAGCAAAATCTCACATCTGGAGTTGTTTTCGTAGGAAATATAATTAACCAGGTTTCATACATAATTTACAGATTTACAAAAAGTCGGCAATTATATTTTCATCCTCTCTGTTTTATTTGCTTACAGAGCAGTCAGATGTGAGGGAATGTAGATCCAGACATTTGGGCTTCAGCAGGTTTGCTTTTGGTTGTCCCTTGGCTTGGGGAAACAGGGTACCAGAAAATAAAGCTTTGTTTGGCATTAGGGGAATTCTGTGTGCTATTTTTGTGAGAAGGATAAAGAAAATAATTCAAATGGGGAGCTTTAAAAGAGTATGGGATAAAAGAAAAGTGGGCTATGGCAATAGTTTCTGATCGTTTCATTCAGAGATGTGAGCATCGTTCTGGATGAATTAAAACACCTCTCATCCAGAAAAGAACAATAGAATAATCCCTTTTTCCTTAACTCAAAGATGATGAATTGTTTGATGGAGATGTTATTGGCAGAAAACATGCTCACACAGAGGTTAATGTATCAAAGACACCACGTCAACGAAGGCCCCTGGGAGGAGACTGTGACAAATTCTGTTTTCTCTGGGAGATAATCCAGCAGTCTTTGTGTCTCTGCCAGAGTGGTTCTTAGTTCCCTGCAGGTCCCTTCACATCCAGAGACTGCTGGAGTCCTGCCTGGAGATTGCAGGCTGACGGGTCGCAATAGCCATTCTGGCCAGCTGGACCAGGAGGACCAGGCACACCAGGCTGTCCTGGAACGCCAGGAGGTCCCCTCTGCCCGTCCTGACCATCCTGACCATAGCCAGGTTTTCCTGGCTCTCCTGTCATCAAAAAATGGGTAAATGTCAGGTTCATCTTGGAAAGAATGTTATATATAGTAAATCAATGTTTGTGCTTTATGCTTTACTTGACTAGGGATTTTCCTCTTGAGAACTTATTGTCATATTGATGATAACTGTAGCTACTTCACAACACAACACACAGTTACTACTGTAACTGTGTCTACTTTGTAAGTCTGTTTGGATAAAAGCATCTGCTAAAAGCATAAATATGCTTTATACTATAAATATATACAGATATATAATTTTCTTTTTTGTGTCTCTGATGTTGCTACATAATGTTGCCCCAAACACACACACACTACACACAACAATAACATGTGGACTGTTCTCACACACACACATCAACGGATCCAACACCACATACACACACTTCTCAACTATAGCTGTATATAATCTTCAAATCTTTTTATCTGCTATTATCCTGTATTATAACCCCACTAATCAATCAATC